TAGTGGGCAACCGTTCGTTGTCGCTGGTTGAGTGGCGGCTGTCACGTTCGCTATCGCGTTCATCATCACCCTGCTTATTGTTAATGCCTGTGCCACTTCACCGAGGCGGCTCGGACGAAAGTTGGACGTGGCGTTCCGACTATTCTTGCCGCGCGCGGCGTTGCGGTCGTGTGACGAAAAAATCAGTCTCGCTGCATCCGGCTTGAGATGTGGTGGTCTAGGAAGGTCTTTTAGATCAGGTACTGGTCTCTTGAGGGCCGGCCTCCAGCGGGCGGCTCTTCAGAGGGCGGCTCTTCAGAGGGCGGCTCTTCAGCAGGCGGCTCTTCAGAGGGCGGCTCTTAGACGTCTAGTGTGCGGTTGATAAGCCACTCGACCATGGCAGGGTCCCGGTGCGAGAAGAAGGCGCTAGTGGCTGTGTCGAGAGCGGTGATCTTGTTCATCTCTTCCTCTGTCAGTTCGAAGTCGAGAACGGCTAGGTTTTCGGTCATACGTTCCTTGCGCACCGTCTTGGCTAACGAGACGACTTGGCGCTGGAGAAGCCAACGGAGTACGACCTGACCGACGGACTTACTGTATTGTTTGCCGATGGCCGTGATTTGCGGGTTTTCGAACAGCTTATTGCGGCCTTCGGCGAAGGGGGCCCAGGCTTCGGGCTGTATGTCGTGGCTGAGCATCCATGGGACGGCATGGAGTTGTTGGTTGAACGGGTTGACTTCGACCTGGTTGACTGCCGGCCGGATCTTATTGAAGCCGATTAAGTCGACGAGGCGGTCGGGCGTGAAATTGCTCACACCGATCGCACGCATCTTGCCTTCGCCGTACAGCTCCTCCATCGCACGCCACGCCCCGTGGACATCGCCGAACGGCTGATGGATCAGGTACAGGTCTACGTAATCAAGCTGCAAACGCTCGAGCGAACGCGCAAAGTGCCCCTTCACTCCTTCGTAACTCGCACCCTCCACCCACAGCTTGGTCGTCACAAACAACTTTTCACGCGGTACACCGCAGCGCTTCAACGCACGACCCACTGCCGCCTCGTTCCGATATGCAGCCGCCGTGTCGATTAGACGGTAACCAGCCTCAATCGCTTCCACCACCACCCGCTCACACTCCTCCTCGTCCACGATCTGGTACACACCGAACCCTAACAAAGGCATCTCCACTCCATTGTTCAACTTTACGCATGATTGCCCGACCATTTACACAGACGACAGAGGGGAAAAAAAGATCGCGACGGCAACCCCACAAAAACGTCTCTGAAGCCGGCAACTCGAGCGTCTCGGACGGGAGCACCTCCGACGGGCGGGACCGGATAGTCGGCGTCCACCACGAGAACAGCACATTGGCGACGAGCTACTGGACTGGCGGATCGGCTACCGGTATGGGCCGAGGTTTTCGCGGTCGGTAGGTAGGATGGGCTGGAGAGAGCGAAAGGAGTGGAGGGAGAACCTCTACAAGAGCAAGTTCCCTGCGCTGTGACTGAAGAGGAGTTTGAGGATTGGGTAGATTCGGTGGCTTCGTCGTGGAGGGAGATTTGCTACCACGTACACGGTGAGACGCTGGTTGCTCGCATTTGGTCGTTGTTCCCAGTTGGAGTAAGGTCGCGTGTAGATCGACAAAGGGCCCGGGGTGAGACCTTTATTTCGGAGGTAGCGAAGGTCCTTTACCCCGACAGCACATTGCTTGGGCGGTGCCTGAAGTCGGTGCTGATTGGCACCGACTTCACACACCGGTAATGACGGTGCGAGGTGTTTCAATTGTGGTCGGAAAGGTCACTGGAGCGCTATGTGTGATGGGACCTGTCTGACTGACCAGGGCGCTGCTATGAGGGCGTTCGTGGAGCTTGAGACAGACGATCAACGGAGACAGAAGCGAGGCGACGATGTGATGCAGGTCGAGGCGCAGTTCTGAAGCAGAGCCAAGGGGGACGGAGAGAGGAACTGCATGGCGGACTGGTTGTCCCGCTACGCCGCAGAAGATGCGGACGGTGACTCACTTGTGAACATTCGGCCCGGCTGGGTCCGGTCCGAAGGCTGGGTGGGGGTATGGTGCACTGGGCAAACATCGTGGCTGCGGTAGTCATATTCCCGTTGGTCTCGCCACCGTCGGTCGGGAGCCCGCCTTTTTTGGCGAACGCGTTGCCGTACGCCGAACGGTACGTCCGGCGACACGTGTTGTCGGCAGACTCGAAAGAGGTGGAGTCTGCGCTCCGTCGGTAAGCTGGAGGGGCGTTTCGGGCCTCAGGTTCCGGTCCGGTGTTATGATCTGACTCCATTTGCAGGTTCCAGGTGTGCGAGGTGTTACAGGCGGCGGGTGTGTTAAGTGAGGAGTGGTTGCTGACGCAACACTACTCGTCGCTCGGATTGCACACGATGCGCACAATGGTGTTCGATGTGGCTGACGGGTGGCTCCCGAACCCACTCTGGCGCACACTCAAGGCCGTGTACGCCTGCCAGGCCGCGGGCGTGCTCCTGAACGGTATGTATGGCGCCTACGTTTTCGCCGCGCATCAACTCGGGCCCCTCCAGACCGCACAAGATGTCGAACATAAACTCAGACATGTTTTCGGCCTCCACACCACCGCCCCCGATCTCTCTTTGGCGCCACCGCGACCCCCGCCCAGACCCAAACCGCGCGGCAGACGCCGTCGGAAACCCACCAACTGGCGGTGACTCAGCGGTGACCTCACCCAGGTGGCCGGAGGGTGATTTTGTGGCGTGACCGCAGAGGGGGAAAGCGAAACTTATAGAGAAAGACCGGATGACCTCGTTGTTGGGGCTTCGTGCTAAATGGTGTGAAATTTTTGCATAATTGATGAAGGTGTATGAGGCAGTGATCTACCGCAACGGCAGCACGGTTGTCAGGGCCAAGTGTGAAGGTATGTGTGTCCGCAGAGACGCGCCTGCAACTACGCTGACGATTAGAGCGCCCTACGTGTTTGCCACGAGGCCGTCGGACAAGTTGGCGGTCACGTCGTGTTCGCCAAGTTGTCGTGTGGTCAAGTCGGAGTTGGTGAAGAGGCATGTGACGCGGGAGGCGTTGATCGAGACGCTGAGTCCGGAGATTAGAGACTTGTACGCGACGCTCAAGCTGAAATTGCGCGAACACGCCACACAGTGCAACCAGTTGCAGTGTCTTGAGAGCCGCAAAGAGGCGCTGGAAAAGCTCGCCGATAATATGGCTGACCCACGCGCCATCGTGTCCGCCATGGGCTTCATGAAAAGACCCTTCCGGTACGGCCCTGGCCCGTGGATGAGGGGCCCTGGCCCCTGTATGAGGGGGCGGGGGGGCCCTTGGATGAGGGGACGGGGAGGGCCTGGGATGAGGGGACGGGGGGGGCCGGGTGTGAATGGCCGATGCGCGAGAGGCCCGGGCAGGGAAGGCAGGGGACGTCAGGGCAGAGGGCGTCAGTTCCAGGGCGCCCCTGTGTTTGACCGCACGGTGGACAACGCCATGGTGCTCGAAGAAGAAGACTGCGGCCCGGAGGAACCGCTGGACCAGCGGCTCAACCCTGTCACGGCCGTGGGGAACGACACCGCCATAGACCAGGAGGTCGCTAGCGACGACTCGTCCTCTTTCTCAGAGGAGCTCGCCGAACTGGCGTGGGGTGATGGTGATGGCAATGGGGACGACGAAAGCCAGGAGGATGGCGAGGGTGAGGATGGAGCGAAAGGGACTGCAGAGGCCACGGAGACAGCAGAGACGTCAGGAAGGAAAGGCGGAGAAGGGTGTAGGAGGAAAGGCGGAGAGGAGAGATGGCGGAAGGGCCGTCGCGGTGTGGTGGGTGTGGTATGTCGGGTGATGACACAGGCGGCGGAAGAGGTGAGTCGGCTCGACCTAGAGTTGATTGACTTGCACACGCAGGCGGATTTCCTGAAGGATGAGATAGTGACGTTATCATATCAACTGGATCAGGAGCTGGGTCTGATGGTGCGTCAGCCGTTGGCCCGTCAGAAGCCGATGGCTACTGACGCACTGCAGCAGCTCATGGCTCGGGTGGAGGTGCCCAGGTGCGAAGTCATGCACGATATTCAGGCGATTGTCGAACCCGTGCAGCGTCGGCAGGATGCTGCCATGGAATCGGCACTTGGAGCGGATTCGGCACCTGGAGCGGATTCGGCACTTGGAGCGGAGACGGGAGCGGAGACGGGAGTGGAAAGGGGAGCGGAAAGGGGAGCGGAGGCGGGAGCGGATGACTTGATTGTAGACCTGGATCTTGAGTTCTTGTTGGGTAATAGTAGCTGGCATCCGGTGTATGACTTTAAGTTTGTTGGCGACAACTTGGAGACGTGCAAGGTAGATTACTATGCCGAGGTGGTTCAGCATACGAGGTTGGACCTGTTGGGTGACGTAAGTGTGTATTTGAGTTCAGGTGGTGTGAATGAGAAGCCTAGTCCTGATCCGCAGGAGAAATTGTTCGTGGACATTAAGGAGCCGGTCCGCCGGGTTCCGATGCCGCGTCCTATGGCGCGTATGTTGGTGGCGGAAGTAGCGGAGGAACAAGACGGGAAGGAGCGGAGTCACAGGGCCCGGAGGGCGGCGCATTCTGGGTCGGATCACTTTGGTAACCAGCGAGTGTTGTTGGCGGAGGGTACAGTGGTGAAGTCGAAGGGAGGGCCACAGAGGTTGTGTTTGGCGTCGTTCGAGCTGCCTTCTAGAATTTACCATCAGGTATTCGCTAATAATCCGACGGCTGCGTACCGTGCGTTTTACATCACCAACCAGTCGGAGTTTACACTGATGAACCATGCCACAGCCAACGTCTTCATAGCCTCCCAATTTATCGGCGCAAGCAGACTCCACGACTACTGCCTCCCAGACGCCGAAGTATGTCTCTATGGCGGCATAGACGAAGCCGTCAACGTTAAATGTCTCACCGACGGTAATGAGACTTACAACTCCACTACTGGAAACCTACTTGTAGGAAACGGTAAAAAGGAAACCAGATCAACCAAATTGCATATACACAATACACATGAAGATGTAGATATCAATCTCATCATATCATACCCCTTCCCCAGCGTCAAAAACGAAGCTATCAAGGTCACCGTCCAAGATTTAACCATCACAAAAAATTTGCAAACCTGCACTTACCACACTGACGTACTTGCAGCACACAAAAATCAACAGACTAAATTCTTGCACAACGAGACTACCGGCTCCGTCATTGAACATAGGGAACTGAAGAAAAAGGACGAATTCGACACTGTCGGACTCGTGTATGCCATTGAATACCCTAAGGACCAAGAGATCACCATAACTTTTTAAATTTCGAATGTTTGACTTAATTAATAGGCTGACTTAACAGACACATGACGAAAGAACGGCGACGAATGAATGATGGTTCCTCTCCGCCCACCGTTGTTGACTGTTAGCATACCTTCCCTCCTTAGCTCCCCTCTGCAACTAACTAACTAACTGAGTTGTCATCGATTGGTATGTCTGCTGGGCTGTCGTGTGCTGTAATTCGCATTTCTCGTTCCGCCGTTGGGGTGCGTGGCGAGGCACTCCTGGCAGAATCGGTTCTGAGAGACGCGGTTTTGATAGACGCGGTTTTGATAGACGCGGTTCTGACAGACGCGGTTCTGACAGACGCGTTCTTGATAGATGAGCTCTTAATAGACGAGCTCTTGAGAGACGAGACGACGCCGGCGGAGGCGGAGGCAGTGGCCAGAGTGTCCTCGGTGTGCGCCTGGTCGAGCGCGTGAGGTTGTTTCCAGGGAAACTGGGACGAGAGAAAGTCTTTGATACGTGCGGCGAAGACTTTCATGCGTTTCAGGAGCGCGACTGCGGTTTCTATGGAAGCTGCTTGCCGGTCTTGAATGTTGGCGAAGCCGACCCAGAGATTGTCCTTCACCGCGGGTGGTAGGTTGCTGTATGCTTTAAGAGTGAGTCCGAGCCAAGGGAGGCAGAGAGTGGCATTCGTGTGTCGCGCGAAGTGTTTGCCTCGTTTCGCGGAGCCGCGGCCCTGTAGACCTTTAACCATGCCCTCGGCGGACCGTTCGCAGGCCTGCCACCACTGGCGTCGGATGCTAATGAGCCGATTGAGGCTGTGTTCGGCCTGCTTCATGCTGGCCTGCACCTCCTCCTCCTGCCACACACACGTGTCCAATGACTTCGCCAACTTGCCCAACACAATGCTTAGGTCGCCCGCCACTGCACCCACTAACGGACCGAACAGCGCCGACCACTTCACCACCGGCGCCAACCCCACTACGTCCACCGACGTCTGAAACTCACTTGTTGACGGCTGCGCCGTCAACAGTAAATCCAGTTCGCCCAACGGCGTCGGCGGCGGCGCCAAAGAAGCCGGCGAGACTACCGACCCTCGCGAGGCCGCTCCATCTTCCGCTGTCGGGAGCTGAACCAGCTCCCCGAACGCGTTCATCGGGACCACCAACGTCGTCAGTCGCGCCACCGAACCCGCCCCCGTCCCTGCCTCC